TTAACCACCAAGGCTATTTTCAAGCACAAGCGGTTAGTCACAGCAGACTAGGGAAAGTCTTAGTGTGTGATTTTGTATGCAACATGACACTGTGGTTATATACCCGGCCTGGAAGCAACATGGGAACTGGTAATGCATAAATAAACCAATAAAAATAATTCAATTAGTCTTTGATCCTCTACAAGCTTACATTACATTCCAATGTTTTAAGATTTTCTTTTTGCCCTCATTTCAACTGAAGAGAAATATTGCAGACATGCCAATCCACTCAATCGTGTTTGTACGTAATAAGCATGTGCATGTGTAGCCTCAAAATAATGAAATATGGTTGTTGGCATCAACAGACAATGTTTTAAAGTGCTACTACGACAAAAATCGCATCATTCAAATCTGAGCCATTTTAAGACATAAACAAGTAGTCTGTACAAGAGTAAAAATGTTGTTTACTGTTTTCCAATATCTATTTTCGTTCCAGAGATATTCAAGTTTTTAAAAATGCAAATTAGCCGAATGATGACGTCATGCACTCAACCGAATTTTGATCAAATATGATAAACAAGGATATCTCAGTCAATTTGCATCAGAAATGTTTGATTTTTTACAGTAAGATTCTACTAGAGGTGCTCTGCAATACGTTCGTACAGCCCTTATGTTCTTCAATTCCCTTTCATATGGAGTTAGTACGTTCGTACGGCCCTTATGTTCTTCAATTCCCTTTCATATGGAGTTAGTACTTTACTCTGTTCTGTACGCTGAAGCTGTCTGATAGATTGCCAACATACTGCACCGTCCCTTGCATATTCTCATGGAATGACTTGATGATGCTGAGAAGCTTCTGAGGGCACCCTATCTTCAGTAGCATCTGGAATAGCACATCTCTGCTGACGAGGTCAAAAGCCTTGGCGAGGTAATCGAAGGCCATGTATAAGGGCCTTTGCTGTTCTCTGCATTTCCGCTGGAGTTAGCGTAGGAAGAATATCATGTCAATGGTGGATCTTTTGAAACAGAACCTGAAGCCACATTGGGACTCTGGATAGATGCGCTCAGTCAGTTTCTGGTAAGCACAACACCAGCAAACAATTCGCCAGTTATGCTGAGTAGAGATATTCCACAATAGTTGTTACAGTCACTCCCATCTCCTTTGTTCTTGTTCAAGGTTACTATCCTGGCATCACGCATTTCTTGGGGACGGATCCCTCTTCCCAACACTGGCGGAGTAGTTCGTCGCAGTCAGCGCTGTGATATGAGCGCTTATGGAGTACAGATTTGAGGGCCGCTTGTCTAACTATAATAAGGTCTAGCTGATGTCAGTGCCAGTAACACTTCAAGAAGTACCTATTTAAGTGCAGTGACTGCCACCCTATTCTTTTGTTTTTTGGTTTTTAGAAAATTGGCTGCAGTTTGGCTCAGACATTTTTCTCCAGCTTTCGTTCCGTGCTTTGTACACTTAAAGCGTGCAACATGAACATGAAATGTTTAAAAACGGACGTAAAACAGATCTGTAAAACCGGTCAAAGCTTTTACGTCTCTAATGGGATTGTGAACAAAAACTCGACAAGACATGTGGCACATTTCGTACGTTTGTTTCAAAAAGGTATGTGCAACCAACCTACTCAGCAAAAAGGAAACTGGAAAAGAAAATTTAAAAAATCAAATAACACCCGCAGCATAAAGGTAAACTAGAAAGTCTATGAGGAGATTCGCTAAGGAAGAAAAGAGTGCTGTTTAGGTGGACTTACCAAGTGACCCATCTGACAAAGTGAGAGACCATGGGAACACACGAGGCTCGCGGGTCAGGAACTCTTGAAGATAGATATGTCAGTTTAACCAATGACCAGTAAGCAAACTAAAATCACCATCTAGTAATAGTTGGTACACCTCAGGGTTAAGTATCTTGCAAGGGTGTTACGATCAATGATAATGGGCATTGCTCCTATGGTACTATGTAACGACAGCATCTCATTGACGGCACAAGGAATTTAGAGGGAATTTCACATGCATTCACGGGTAGTGGGAATGAAATAGACCAGCAACGACGACTCTTACGTTGAGTACTTCTCCCAGGACGCCTCCAATGCTTTTCCTTGCTTTCCTCGGAGTACCGCCCAGATAGATGGAAAGGCTGCATCTGCGGTCCACCTTCATCGAAATTCTCCATATCTAGTTTTGCAGATCTCACGCAAGGAAATTACTTATGTAGCAAAGACCGTAATCATGAATACCACTTGGAGAATCATGCAAATTTCCACTGAACCGAAATTTTCATAGATAAGATCCTCTTTCCTTAGGTGTACGCTCATCACGCTCAAAATGCCTTCAGACGAAAGAAACAGAGCCAGCAACGCCACATCCAGAGAGTATCTCAGCAATACCAGTATCTCAAAACCGTTTTCCCACGGATACCATGAAGGCGAGATTTATTTGGAAGAGAGTCTTCCTCACTACCTGTCAACTTACCTGCTATTGTTTCTGCCAAATGACCTCCAGTGCCTGCATAAATTGCGTGATCACGATGAAAAATGACTGTGCAATGGTTCAACTGGTGAGCAATATACAGAGATGTTTGAAGCAGTGTGTATACTGTCACAAGCTCAGTGGGGCTGGCTTCAGTGACAGGATGGTATAATTATCGGTGAAACAATACTCTGGCTGCCGAATTAGAAAATTTATTCACCAAATTTTGTTTTCACTCCTATTGGCCACCAGATTGGTAGCAACTTCGAGTGGTGTCAGACTTTCTAGGAGCTTATTTGCTGATCTCCTTTCTCTCTCAATACCGTCATGTGGGCTGGACTCCACTCGTGACAATTGGCATAGATTTGGCACTGGTACCGCCTCTTTTGCTACAGATCGGGGAATGTCTAATAATCCAATCAAATAGCTCGATGAAAGTCAAATTCCTTTCTCAATTATATTAGAGTAACCTCAACATCAACATCCGTGCATATAGCTAGCGGGGGAAGTTATGCCAGAGTCACAAAACGTGATGGTTCCGATAAGCAAGGGCAGCAGATCAATCACTTTTCCATGCCTTATATTCATAAGTGCCAATTTAATGCAGCTTTAATTTTACATGAAAATGGTTATTTTCGCTAACGTTTTAGCGTTTTCACCTAAGCTAAATGAAGATTCAATTCTACTTAATAACAAAATTATTATACACAGTAAATGTGAGACATTCGTATAATGAAGCGTGTCTGCTTTGGAAACTAGTATAACATGCCTTCAGATTACCGTGTAGATATCAAGGAAGATATGAAATCGTAATTCACACTTAATTCTCCTGACTACATACCATTCATCTGAATTGACCACAAGCACAGGGAACGTTAGATTATACAAAAAAATTGGCATTTTTCCACCATTTAATAACAGATATATGGATTTTTATTCACTCAAGTTAAAGACTATTTAAATAACAACATTTTCATGTTGGAACGCCAGATGATAATATTATTAAGTGTATAACAATGTATTTGAATAGCAGGTTTTACCCAACAATGTGAGGTGTAATTTAAGGTTAAACTTTGCGGAGTGAGAGCATGCCACTCGATCAACAGGACAGCGTCCGTTGTCTGTAGTA